GTAAAGTTGAAGTATAGAAAATCAGCATGCAGAAATCAGTTGCATTTCTATACACTAACAGTGAAATGTCTGAAAAAGAAGACAGTCCTATTCACAATAGCATCAAAAACAATAAAATACTTAGGAATAGATTTAACCAAAGAGATGAAAGATATATACACTGAATATTATAAGGCTTTGATGAAAGAAATTTAAGTAGACACAAATAAATGGAAATTATCCCATGGTTATAGATTGGAAGATTTAATGTGGTTAAAATGTTCATACTACGTAAAGCCATAGATTCGAAAAAATCCCTATCAAAATTCCGATGGTAGTTTTCATAGAAATAGAAGGAGCAATGCTAAAAATCACAGTTCCTGATTTCAAGCTATACTACAAAGCTATAGTAATCAAAACTCCATGGTAGGGGCGCCTGGGTGGCTCAGTCGGTTAAGCGGCTGCCTTCGGCTCAGGTCATGATCCCAGGGTCCTGGGATCGAGCCCCACATTGGGCTCCTTGCTCAGCGGGGAGCCTGCTTCTCCCCTGCCTGCCGTTCCCCCCTGCTTGTGCTTGCTCTCTGTCTCTCTCTCGTTCTCTCTGTGTCAAATAAATAAAAAATCTTAAAAAAAAAAAAACCCATGGTAGTGGCATAAAAATAGAAACATAGACCCATGGATCAGAATTGAGAGCCCAGAAATAACTCTTACATGTATAGTCAACTAATATTTGACAAGGGAGCCAAGAATACTCACTGGGGAAAGGATAGCCTCTTTACTAAATGGTTTTCAGAAAACTGGAGAATGAAATTGGAACCTTCTCTTACACCACTCATAAAAATTTTTTTTTAAAGATTTTGAGAGAGAGCACAAGTAGAGGGAACTACAGGCAGAGGGAGAAACAGGCTGCCTGCTGAGCAAGGAGCCTGATGTGGGACTTGATCCCCAGGATCCTGGGATCATGACCTGAGCCGAAGGCAGACGCCTAAGCAATGGAGCCACCCACGCGTCCCATAAAAATTAAATCAAAATGGATTAAAGACTTAAACGTAAGGCCTGAAACCATGAAACTTCCAGAAGAAAATATAGGGGGAAAGTTCCATGACTTGGTCTTGGCAATGGTTTTTTTTTTTTTTTGATAGGACACCAAAAATGCAAACAATGGGTAAGAATTAGTAAGTGGGACTACATCAAACTAAAAACCTCTGCACAGCAAAAGAAACAATCAACAAAATGAAAAGGCAACTTATAAAATGGGAGAAAATACTTGCAAACCATATATCTGATAAGGGTTAGCATCCAAAATATATAAACAATTCAATAGCAAAAAACTGAAAAATCCAACTTAAAAAATTGTTAGGAATCTGAATAGACATATCTCTAAAGAAGACATCTAGGGGAGCCTGGGTGTCTCAGTCAGTTAAGTGTCTGCCTTTGGCTTAGGTCATGATCTCTGGGTCTTGGGATCGAGCCCCACATTGGGCTTCCTGCTTAGCAAGGATTCTGCTTCTCTCTCTCTCTCCCTCCACCACACTGCCCCTCCCCACTGCTCATTCTCTCTCTCCCTCTCAAAAAAATAAAACTTAAGAAAAAATGAAGACATCTAAATGGCCAACATGAACATGAAAAGATGCTCAACATCCCTAATCATCAGAAAAATGCAAATCAAAACTAAAATAAGATATCACCACACACTTGTTAAAATGGCTATCATCAAAAAGATGAGATATCAAGTGTTGGCAAGAATGTGGAAAAAAGGGAACCCTTGTGCATTGTTGGTGGGAATGTAAATTGATTTGACCACTGTGGAAAACAGTATGGAGTTTCCTCAAAAAATTGGAAGTATGATATGATCCAGCAATCCTACTTCAAAGGTAAGTATCCAAAGGAAATGAAATAAGGATCTTGAATAGATAGCTGCACTTCCATGTTCATTGTAGCATGACTCACAATAGCCAAGATAATGGAAACAACCCAAGTGTCCATTGATGGATAAACAGATAAAGAACATGTGGGGGGTGTGTGTGTGTGTGTGTGTGTATGTATATGTGTGTGTGTGTATATATATATAATACACACACATATATATATATAACATTTTTCAACCATAAGAAAGAAGGAAATTCCTTTATGACAACATGGATGGACTTTTTTTTTAAGATTTATTTACTTACTTTAGAGAGACAGAGCAAGTTGGGGGAGGAGCAGAGGGAGAGAATCTCTAAGCAGACTCTGCACCGAGCACAGAGCCCAACGCAGGGCTCAATCTCAATGCCCCTGAGATCATGACCTGAGCTGAAACCAAGAGTTAGATGCTTAACCGACTGAGCCACCCAGGAGCCCCATGGATGGGCTTTTAAAGGACATTATGCAAAGTGAAATAAGTCAGACAGGGAAAGATAAATAGGATGTCAGTTATATGTGGAATCTAAAAAAGCCAAACTCATAAAAACAAGAGTATAATGGTGGTTGTCAGGGGGTGAGGGGTGGGGGAAATGGGGAGATGTTGGTCAAAAGATACAAACTTCTAGGGGCGCCTGGGTGGCTCAGTTGTTAAGCATCTGCCTTCGGCTCAGGTCATGATCCCAGGGTCCTGGGATCGAGCCCCGCATCGGGCTCCCTGCTCAGCTGGGAGTCTGCTTCTCCCTCTCCCTCTCCCCCTGCTTGTGTTCCCTCTTTCGCTGTGTCTCTCTCTGTCAAATAAATAAATAAATAAAATAAAATAAAAAAAAGATACAAACTTCTAGTTATAAGATGAGTTAAGTTTGGGGATCTAATGTACAGGATGGTAATTATAAGTAATAATCTATTATAAACTTAAAAGTTGCTAAGAGAGTAGATAATAAATTTTCTCGCCACGAGAAAAATGATGATTAGGTGAGGTGATGAAGATGTTGGCTGACATTATAGTGATAATCATTCCACAGCATGTGAGTATATCAGTCGATACCCTGTATACCTCAAATCTAAACAATGTTATATGTCAATTATATCTCAGTAAAGCTGGGAAATAAATACTTATATTGAAAAAGAAGAAAGGTTTAATATCAATGACCTAAGAAACTAAAAATGGAAGTAAACCCAAGATAAGCAGAAAGAAGAAAATAACAGAAATTAATATAGAGAAAACAAACCAGAGAGAAAATTACCAAAGCTACAAGTTGGTTCTTTGTAAAAAGAGCAACCAAATTGTTAAGCTCTAGCCTGATGGACCGAAAAAGGAAACATCAGTTACAGAATGAAAATACCAGAAATAAAAAGCAGTTATTACTGATAATTTCTAGCAAAATCTTGAGGAAGAAGTTACACTAATCTTAACACAAATCTTATCAGAGAATGGAGAAGGTAACACTTCTGAATTCATTTTATGAGGCCAGTATTACCTGCTATAAAGACTTGACAAAGACATTACAGAAAAAGACACTTATAGACCAATATCCCTTATGAGTATAGATGCAGAATACTTATAGTTAGATCTGTCAAAGGTTGAATAAAAAAGTAAGTAGAAATTTTTCTGGAGACAGAGTCAGTTCAGTATATGGAAGAAACTAAAACTAAGCAAAGAAGGGATAGTGGGCTCAGAAGGTAGTAAGGTACAAGTAATAAAAACAAATCTAGATTAAAACACCAGTGAGATTACCTTTTTTCCATCTCTCCAAATGAAAGAGATTTAAATCTATCAGCTGATATTAGTGAGGGGATTTGTGCACACATTATTGGTGGGAATGTTATATATACAGCAAAACTTCTTGGAGGATGGTTTGGCAATGCCTATTAAAAGTGAGGATTCATGGGGCGCCTGAGTGGCTCAGTTGTTAAGCGTCTGCCTTCGGCTCAGGTCATGATCCTGGGGTCCTGGGATCGAGCCCCATATCGGGCTCTCTGCTCCTCAGGAAGTCTGCCTCTCCCTCTCCCACTCCCCCTGCTTGTATTCCCTCTCTCGCTGTCTCTCTGTCAAATAAATTTTTAAAATCTTAAAAAAAAAAAAGTGAGGATTCATGGGGCACCTGGGTGGCTCAGGTGGTTAAGCATCTGCCTTCGGCTCAGGTCATGATTTCCAGGTCCTGGGATCGAGCCCCACATCAGGCTCCCAGCTCAGCGGGGAGTCTGCTTCTCCCTCTCCCTCTGTTTCTCCCCCTGCTTGTGCTCTCTCTGTCTCTCTCTCTTAAATGAATGAATAAAATCTTTTTTTAAAAAAAAGGATTCAGGGGTGCCTCAGTGGCTCAGATGGTTGGGCATCTGCCTTTGGCTCAGGTCATGATCCCAGGGTCCTGGGATCGAGCCCTGCATTGGGCTCCCTGCTCGGCAGGGAGCCTGCTTCTCCCTCTCCCTCTGCTGTTCCCCCTGCTTGTGCTCTCTCGCTCTCTCTGTCGAATAAATAAAAACCTTTAAAAGTGAGGATTCAGTCCATGTACCTTCCATGTTTAGATCCAGCTTCTTAATATTGGAGAAGGGCGAGCCCAAGTGAGCATAGATGTTCATAATACAGTGTTAGATGTAAAAGAGCAGGTTTTATACTAAACACTATATAAAACGTGATTCAATTTTTATGAATTATATTTATGTGTATGTCCATAGGAGGGAAAAAAAAGACTGTTCAAAAATATAAATAGTGATTGTTTCTGGATCTTGGAATTATATATGATTTTTATTTTCTTCATTTTGCTTGTTGGTGTTACCTGAACTTTAAAATTATGATAGATTGTTTCTGTAGCAAAAAAAAAAATTTTTTTTAAATAAATAAACAAAGGTCATTAAAAGGAAGAAAATTACTTAAGTAGTTAGAGGTACTGCCAGGTTAGCATATAGTCATGGAAAGAAGGGTTTTACTTATTTTGTTTTATTCCTAAACTGGTACAATTGGTCTTCATTCACCCTTATTGAAATCTTTATACTGTCATTTAATGGGTTGGGTTTGTCTTTTCTAGAGTATAGATATAAGCACTAAAAATCTCTGAAAGAAACCCAGATAAAAACTCTGAAAACTTAAATTGTTCTTTTATGTCAAAATCCTACTTTAGATACAGTTGGAGGTTCATTATCCAAGATATTGCAGATTGGAATTGTAACCCTGTCATGTTGCCCTGTCACATCTGGAAGGAACTGTTCATTGCCAGAAAGAAAAGCACCTTCTCCAGCACTCATGGATCCCAGTTAGTGGTAAAACTGTTTCTTCACTTCCCCATTTGGTTACTTTTTGGTCTCTCTCTAGAGTCAACTTCAGAAGATTCCTGGATATGCATTTCCCTTCAGGTTGCCCTTCCCTTTCTCTGCCCATGTCTGCCCCATCCCAACCTGGGTTTCGGGTTCCACTGTGGACTGTAGGAACAGTCCCGGGTCCTCATTTCTTTCGAGTGGAGCATATGCTGGACCAAAAAACCTTTCTCTTAATGTTTCTGATAGCTCCCAGCACATATTTCTATGACTTATGCTAAGTGGCTCTCTTTCGGAGTAGAAAAAGGAAGAAATACAGGGGTCCTGTGAAACAGGGAAGACTTCACTTCCACAAAGTCAAGCCACATACTAGACCTTTAGGGCCAACATAAGAGTTAATTGTATGTTTGGATGCTGCTAGGCTTTCACAGTGTTTGGTGATAATGTACACTTTGTCTCAGAAAAAAAAACTGTAATCAGGGAACTAAATTTGCTTACAGAATTATAACATTTTATACTACACCAAGGGAATATTAGAGACAGTAGAGATGGTTGGATGTAGAAATATAAATATATATATATATGGGTTAGTATACACATACATATTTACTAGCTCTGCTGAGAGGGCCAAACAGCAATGACACCCACCCCAGCCCAGAGATGAGTACATCTAATGCCCAGATCTTGGTTTCTTTTTCTTTTTTTTTTAAAAGTATGTATTTTTGGGCACCTGGGTGGCTCAGTTGGTTAAGCAACTGCCTTCGGCTCAGGTCATGGTCCCGGAGTCCTGGGATCGAGTCCCACATCGGGCTCCCGGCTCAGTGGGGAGGCTGCTTCTCCCTCTGACCCTCTCCCCTCTCATGCTGTTTCTTTCTCTCTCTCTCTCTCAAATAATAAATAAATAAAATCTTTAAAAAAAAAATATGTATTTTTTTATTATGCAAACTCTATGCCCAACCCTGAGACCAAGAGTCACATGCTCTACTGACTGAGCCAGCCAGAGGCCCCTAGATCTTGGTTTCTAATTCTATTCTCTAATAAAAGGAACCAGGGCTCCTTGGAGAAACAGCTGATTCTAGGACTGACACAGGAAATACATAAGATGAGCCTTGTGTAAGGAAGAAAGTAAGGAGGAGTGACTCAGTGGCTCAGTCCGTTAAACCTCTGACTCTGGATCTTAGCTCGGGTCTTGATGTCAGGGTTGTGAGTTCAAGCCCCACATTGTGCTCATGAAACAAACAAAAACAACACAAAGATGGCATATGCCAAAGGGCATAGGAGTCAACTGGAAGAGTTCCCAGTGGCCAAAACTGGAACAATTTAAACAATAAAAATAAAGTAGGGAATTAAATTTGCCATCAGGATTAGAAAAATTTATACTGGGGCACTGGGGTGGCTCAGTTGGTTAAGCATCTGCCTTCGACTCAGGTCATGATCCCAGGGTCCTGAGATCAAGCCCCAGGTCAGGCTCCCTGCTCAGCAGGGAGTCTGCTTCTCCTTCTCCTGCTGACCCTCCCCTAGCTCATGCTCATACTGTCTCTCCCAAATAAATAAATAAAAAGTCTTTTAAAAAACAAAAATTTATACTACACCATAGAATGTCAAAGAGACTAGAGATTGTCACATGTAGAAATATTATTATCCATTAGGTCAAAAGCCTAACAGTACCCAAGCAGGCAAATAAACCTTGTGTCAACCCTAAAGGAGTATAATCCAAAGTGTAAAGTAAATATGCATGAGTCCATACTGATTTTTTTTTTTAAGATTTTATTTATTAGAGAATGAGAGAGCACATGAGAGGGGGGAGGGTCAGAGGGAGAAGCAGACTCCCTGCAGAGCAGGGAGCCTGATGCGGGACTCAATCCAGGGACTCCAGGATCATGACCTGAGCCGAAGGCAGTCGCTTAACCAACTGAGCCACCCAGGCGCCCAGTCCATACTGATATTAATCAATGATCATGTAAATAAATAAAAAGAGAACAGACAACTCCCCTGTGCAGAACTCTACATAATTTATGTAGATACTTTGCTCTCAGTGGGGTAGACCATGACTTTCTGCTCTGTAGTGTGGGCTTCACATAGTGACTTCCTTCCAACATTGAGAGTATGGAAAGGGGGAAAAAAGAGTCACTTTGCAGTGGGGAAATTTGACAAACACCATCTCAGCCTGGTGATCCAGGCCAACATCAGTAGTGAAATGTTGATAGTATGTACCCTTGAGTGGCTGTGATGAGAATGGCACTTTGTTTCTGTACTCTTTCTCCTAAAAACCCTAGTCTAAACATGAGAAAAACATCAGAAAAATCCTAATTGTGGGGCATTTTACAAAATACCTGGCTAGTACCTCAAACCTGTCAGGGTCATCAAAAATAAGGAAAGTCTAAGAAACAAGAAGAGCCCAAAGAGATGTGATGGCTAAATGTTAGGTGCTATTCTCCATGGGATCCTAGGACAGAAAAAGAACATTAGGGAAAAACTAAGAAATCTGAATAAAGTTAGGACTGTAGTTAGTTAAGTATGTTGCCTTGTAATGTAAGATGTTAATAATAGGGGAAACTAGGTGTGGGGTACATGGGAACTCTGTGCTTTCTGCTCACTTTTTCTGTAAATCTAAAACTTTTTAAAATAAAAAGTTACTTTTAAAAATCATGAGAAATCATACCTAAAAAAAAAATTAGTCCAAGTAAAGTTTTTTGTTTGTTTGTTTTTTAAGATTTTATTTATTTATTTGACAGAGATAGCAAGAGCAGGAACACAAGCAGGGGGAGTGGGAGAGGGAGAAGCAGGCTTCCGTGGAGCAGGGAGCCTGGTGCGGGGCTGGATCCCAGGACCCTGGGATCATGACCTGAGCTGAAGGCAGACGCTTAACGACTGAGCCACCCAGGCGCCCCCAAGTAAAGTTTATTTTAAAAAGGACTGCTACATATTAAGCCCCAAAGGCTTATTTCTTTTACATAAATCTATGCATATTTAAAAAAATTATAGTGTGATTATTTGCTCAACCCAGAAATGTCACTTTTTAAAACCCAGCAAAAATATTTACAAAGCACACAAAATATATGTAAAAATTAATCATAGTTGTTTGTAGAAAGCAAAACATGGGACACAATTTACCTGTCCATATATTGGAAGGCGATTGTATGGTATTGTGGTTGGCAGAATTTCAAGATGAAGCCTCAGTGACCCTACCCTTGAGTGTGGGTGAAACTTGGGATGGGATGGATTCTATTCCCATGATTAGGTTGTCAGATGGCACAGCTGACCTTCAGAAAGAGATTATCCTGAGTGGCCCTGACCTAATCAGGTGACTCCTCAAAAGGACTCAGCTCTTCCTAAAAGAAGCGTGAAGCTTGAGGTGTATTTGTTACTGGCTTTGAAGATGGAGGGGATCACATGGTAAAGAATGAAAGAAAGCTCTAGTAGCTGAGTGGCCCCAGTTGACAGCCAGCAAGGAAACGAACTTTAGTCCTGAAACCGCAAGGAAGTTAATTCTGCCAACAATGTGAAAGAGGTTGGAAGAGGACCCCGAGTCTCAGATGAGAGAGCAGCCCTGGGAGACCCTGAGCAGAGGACCAGTCACTCTGTGCCAGACTCCTGACCCACAAGAACTGTGAGATAACAACCTTCTATCATTTAACCTGCTAATTTTGTGGCGATTTGTTACACAGCAATAGTAACCAAGGTATATCCACGCTATACTATGTAGCCAGTCAGACCAGTGGGGCACATCTGCATATATCTACCCAGAAGGAAGCTCATGATTACTGCCGATTGCATAAGGGAAGTTGCAAAAATTATATGGAGCATGATCCTGTTTTATAAAATTAAAGAAGTTTGTAAATGGCAGAAAGTCTGGAATGATAACACCAAAGTGCTAGCTGAGGAGTGGGATTTAACAGAAGGAACTTTCAGTTGTTAACATATACATTTCTATGGTGCTACAGAGTTTGTTTTGGTGGAGGGTGGTTCTTATTTTATTTACAAGGAGCATGCATTTTGTTTCTAACTAAAAAGACAAACCAAATCAAACCTTTAACAACCCTCTACTGACCCTCAGAATCGAGTCCAAACTCCTTACTGAGGCCCCTCTTGATCCAGCTCCCCTGGCCTCCAGGCCTCTGCCACCTCTCCCCCAGCCTCCTTCCCGTCCCACCTGCCCCTGAAGCTCCAGCTCCAGGGACTGCCTGTGCTCTGCCTTCTGGACTTCGAATTTACTTTTCTTTCTTTATGCCATTCCTTTCCCCTTTTCTTTGAGGGGCTCACTTGCTCTTTGTGGCTGTGCTTTCTGACATACTCTCTTCCGTGTTCTTTTGGCACCATATCCTCATTCTTTCTTTTTTGACCCTCTTTGCCAATTCCATTTTTTCTCCCTTGTCTTTAGGTTAGTCCTTGGCCTCCTATTCTTCCTGTCTGGGCAAGCTCCTTCCCATCCTCTGTTCCAGTTCCATCACTCTGCCTCGACTGTCACACATTCACTTCCACCCCAGACAGCCCTCTAAGCACATTTGGAGAGCCTTCAAAAAACGAGCCCCCAGACTTCCCCAGGACACACAGACCCTCACTAGATGACCGCTGTCCTTCCCACTTTGCAGGACAGAGATCTGGCTTATCCCCTCTCTACGACCCAAACACTTTGTTTTTTGTTTTTTTTAAGATTTTATTTATTTATTTGACACAGAGCAGGGGGAGCGGCAGGGAGCGGCGGGGAGAGGGAGAAGCAGGCTCCTGCTGAGCACACAGCCCGACATGGGGCTTCATTCATCCCAGGATCCTGGGATCGTTCCCTGAGCCAAAGGCAGATGCTTAACCGACTGAGCCACCCAGGCAGCCCCCCAAATACTTTATTGCACTGTTCCTCCCTTCTCATCTGATTCCCCAACAAGTTCCCTGCACCCCTTCCAGAAGCCTCTTAAAAACAACTCTGATGGGGCACCTGGCTGGCTCAGTTGGTAGAGCATGCAACTCTTGATCCTCAGGGTTGAAAGTTCAAGCCCCATGTTGGGCATAGAGCCTACTTAAAAAAACACAAACTCTGATATTACTACTGAAAATCCTTCAAAGACTTCCCATGGCTCTAGGGATCAACTCCACGTTAGGTTCAGACTCAGCTTATCCTGACCTGAACTTACGTCTCCTCTTGCCCTCTGCACTCCAGCCTCTCTGGTCTTTCCGTGCCTCCCCCAAAATGGCCTTGCTTCCAGGGCCCCTGCCCTTGCTAGCCTGGCCTCCCAACAGCCTTCCCTGGCTGCTAGTTGGTGCCCAGTTACCACCTCTGTTTCTTGTCACAGAAATCACACTCCTCAAGGGGTGCCTGGGTGGCTCAGTTGGTTAAGCCTCTGACTCTTGATCTTAGCTCAGGTCATGATCTCAGGGTTGAGAGATCAAGCCCCGTTTTGGGCTCTGCACTCAGTGCAGAGTCTGCTTGGGATTCTCTCCCCCTCTGCCCCTCCTCCTGTTCGAGTGTGCACAGGCACTCGCATGCACGTGCTCTCTAATAAATAAATAAAATCTTTAAAAAAATAAAAAATCACACTCCTCAGGGAAGCTTTCCTGATGCCCAGACTAGACCAAACCCCTGATGTGGGCACTTAGAGCCTCCTTTCCTTTCCTCCATAGCCCTTCTTACACTTTGCCATGAAGGTTTGCATAACTCATGGATTCGCTAGACTATAAGGCCCCGAGCCTAGGGACTGGGTCTGCTTTCCTCCTCTTGTATTCCCCAGACCTAGCAAGGATAGGCACTCAATAAATAGGAATGTAAAAGTTGAGGGAGAAGAGGTAGATAAGAAGAATAAAAGGGAGAAAGTATGTGGAGTAAAGAATAATTTGGTGTGGCTGGGATGCGGGCTCTGGGGAGATAGAGCTGGAAAGCCCAGCTGATGTCAGAATGGGAAGCATGCAGATACCAGACTAAGGAATTCAAGCTTTTTGTCAATCAAGGATGTCAAAGCTTCCTGAGCAGGACAGCAGTTATATGATCAGTTCAATGGAGAATAAATGGGATGACCTAGTACATTCTAAAAGCCTTTGACAACCATTTGAATTGATGTTGGCTATGGAACAAGGAATTTGGGGGCAGATTATATTTTCTGTGTGCTGTGCCTATTGAGTCTTTGATATTACTACTCTAAGTGACACTGGAAGACCTGCACTCAGTGGTCATAGTGCTTCATGCATTAGCTCATCACGATGCAAAGAGCTCTGATAATAGGCAGCAGAGCATTTCTGCATCCTATTTAGCAAGGAATCTAAGCAACATTTTTTTGGTTCAATTTTTTTTTTTTCTTAATAGGTGTTTACTGAAGTGAGAAAGGATTTGCAGCTGTTTGGAGCCTGAGTGGCAGATGAAACCAACTTGGAGACTTCCGGGGCACAAGTATGAGTTACAACCCAGAGGCTGTAGGGGGCACAGATAGCACATAGGCCACCTCCATACTCGGAGAGCTGAGGAGATCTCAGGTAAAGGGTCCCTAATCACTGAGTGATTAGGCTTGTGAGAGAACATACACTGACTGGTTGGGAGGCCTTGCTGGAGGTTTCAGCTTCAAAAGCCATGCTGGGATTACTCAGTTACTCTTCCCTCTACCTCCTGAAGGACCCTAAGTTGTATTTAAGCAGACCCATGTCCCTACCTATAACTGAGTATGCCAGAGGAATTCAGCCATGCCTCTCTACCTAAGCTATAAAGAACTAATTAACCACACTTAATAGCCCATAATTTGTTATTTCTGCATTCTAGTCCCAGGGTTCCCTCCTAAGTTATTACCCAGGAAGAAACATAAAACTGCATTTCATAGAAACAAAGGAAGTGAGGTCTCTCTCTCTCTCTTTTTTTTTGCTTTATCTCCCTCTGACTTAAAGCAGTGGGTCTTCCTAGTTGGAAATGAGGCTCATTCCCACAGATGGGAAAGGATGCCACTCCCTGTCTCCCATCATTATGATGCAAATGTACAGATAGAAGCAGCTGCATAATCTGTGGGACCCAGTACAAAATGAAGATGTGGGCCCCTCACTAAATACAATAGGAATTTCAAGCTTGCAACAGAAGACCATTAAAGCAGGGGCAGGGCCCTTCTGAGCATGGGGAGGCAGAGGCTGCTCACACAGAATGGTTTGAGTGCTAGGATGATGAAGGGGCTTTGCCTGAAGGAGCTCAGCCACATGAGCAGCTCCTCCCTGGCAAAACCTCAGTAGAGAAGGAAGTGTCAGAAAGATCAGGTGAAAGCACATGGCAGTCATAGGGCCACTTCTGTGAGAGTGAGTGGTGTGGCCAAAAACAGCATTCTTTTGGCAGTCCTTGGTCATGATCTGCTTGGAGTTTGGATATCAGAGGGACCAAGGATCAGAAAAGAATCAGGGTGCCGTGCCTTAGGACATCAGAAGGAAGGGGTGATGAATGGGTATAGAGAACACTGGGATTGAGGAGGCATGAAGAGGGGGAGTTTCTAGGCATGGAACTCTCCCTGTTTTGTTTTCATTTAATCAACCAATTTTTTTAACTGAAGTAGAATGTATCAAATTTAGATGAATGATTCTTTCCCTCTAAACTTGCTTCTCCCTTTTCTCCATCTTGGTAAATGATCCACCTGGGTGGGTCACTATTCACCTAGTTGATCAAGACAGAAACCGGGAGTCATCTTTGATTGATTCCTCCTTCTTTATCTCAATACCACTTACTAAGTCCGATCAATTCTATTTGCAGTTGTCCCTCTTGAGCCCTCACATCCGCTTCTCTCCATATCCACTGATGCTGTCATCTTTTCTGGCCATGACTATCACAACAGCCTTTTAATTAGATTGGCTTTTAAATCATGCTGACTGGAGTTTAAGTCCTCATTCTGCCACATGTTAACTGGGTGACCTTGAATAGGGCTCTTCAGCTTTTTGAGCCTCAGTTTCCTCATCTGAAAAATGGGGACAATATACCTATCTTAAAGGGTTGTTATCAGGACAAAATGAAATGATGCAAGTGGCTTAGCATACAGTATGTACTCGATGAATCAGCATCTTCCTTCTCTTTCCCTCCTCATCCTTCAGGCCTTAGTTTTTTGGTTTTGGTTTTTTTGGTTTTTTTTTTTTTAAGATTTTATTTATTTGACAGAGAGAGCGATCACAAGTAGGTAGACAGGCAGGCAGGCAGAGGGAGAGGGAGAAGCAGGCTCCCCGCTGAGTAAGGAGCCCGAAGTGGGACTCAATCCTAGGACCCTGGGATCATGACCTGGGCTGAAGGCAGACGCTTAACCGACTGAGCCATCCAGGCGCCCTTTTTCAGGCCTTAGTTTAAACATTAGTTCCTTAGGTCCCGCTCTCCTGACTTGCCAAAGACTCAGTGCAGGTTCCCAGCAGTGCAGACTGCTCTGCAACGTTCATCACACTTACCTATCTTCTCTCAACTGTCCTTTCCATCAGGACAAGGATTCTGTTTTTTTCTGCCTAATGAGGTACCTGACATGGAGTAAAAACTCCTATTTTGTTATTTGACTGGTATCCTCATACATAATCAAAGGTTCCCAGACTTGGGGTCCCTGTAATGTTCTTGACTAACTGTTAAGTAAGAGGGTAGATGATGTAAACAAATGAGAACAAGAGTATCCCACCACATTTAAGTTAAACCTAGGGCACTGGGGGTAATTCATCATAGCAGATCCCTTCCATAAGAAATAAACCTAGGGAGTGGTTTGAGATGGCGGAGTAGGAGGATCCTGAGCTTACCTGCTCCCAAGGCTGCACCTATATACCTAGCAACTCCATTGAGAATGATCTGAAGAATAGCAGAACAGCTAAGTATATAGAACAGCTAAAGATATAGAGAAAAAGCCACATGGAGAGGGGTAGGAGGGGCAAAGATACGTTCTGGTGGGGACCCAGACCCCTGGTACAGTGACTCACCAGTGGGAAGGATATCACAGGCACAGAGATCTTCCCTCAGAAGTGAGGGGTTCAAGCCCTGCTAGCTGTGGAGATCTGCACTGGGAAGAGGAGTCCTCGTAACATCTGGCTTTAAAAAACCAGTGGTGCTTCACTTCAGGAGCTTTGAAAATCAGCAGCGCTTAACTCCAGGAGACCTGGAGGGCTGTAGGAAACTGAGACTCCACAGTTAAAGGTTTTATTTATCTATTTGACAGAGAGAGACACAGCGAGAGAGGGAACGCAAGCAGGGGGAGTGGGAGAGGGAGAAGCAGGCTTCCCGCGGAGCAGGGAGCCCAGTGCGGGGCTCGATCCCAGGACCCTGGGATCATGACCTGAGCCGAAGGCAGACGCTTAATGACTGAGCCACCCAGGCGCCCCGAGACTCCACTTTTAAAGGGCCCATGTACAGACTCACTTGCTCTGAGACTCAGCACAGAGGCAGCAGTTTGAAAAGTGCCTGTGTCATATGGGAAGGAGATTTGCGGACTAATTAAATTTTTTTTTTAATTGTTTATTTTAGAGGCACCTGGGTGGCTCAGTTGGTTAAGCATCTGCCTTAGGCTCAGATCATGATCCTGGGATCCTGGGATCAAGCCCCAAGTCAGGCTCCCTGCTGAGCTTCTTCCTCTCCCTCTGCCTCTCCCCCCTGCTCATGCTCATTCTCTCTGTCTCTCAAATAAAATCTTTAAAAAAATAAATTTTTTATTTTAAGTAAACTCTACACCACACATGGGGCTCAAACAACCCTCAGATCAAGAGTCTTATGCTCTACCAACTGGGCCAGCCGGGCACCCCTGACCAAGTAATTTTAGAGTGTGTGCTAGAGGGGCAAGGATCTGTAGGGACTTTCTCTGAGAACAGAAACACTGGCAGGCACCACTTTTCTTCCCCTCCCTCTGTCTAGCTGGCCTGATGCTAGTGGGTGCCAGTTCTGACACTCTTCGTCTACCTTGCTAGCACTGCTCACCTTGCCCTGGCATTCCCATGCAGACCTGCCCGGTAGGCACCCCTCCAAAGCAGCTCCTGCCCTGCCATACCAAGTGGGCAGCCTCAGCCAGGACCAGTGCCCCACTGCCTTAATGGCTCCTGCCCTGCCGTACCTGGCAGGCAGTCCTGACCAGGACTGGTGCTCCCACCCCCCACCCCCAAAGTGGCTACAACCCCGCCCCACCCAGTGGGTAGCCTCAGCTAGACCAGCACCCCTCCAGAGCAGCTCCTGCTGGAGGGTGGGTGCAGCACCAGGGCACTTACAACAGTCGCAGCTGGGCCTTGCAGCCAGCCTCACTGGGGGCTACTCCCAAATATCAGCCCACCTGCATCAGCCACAGCTGGGCCTTGCAGCCCACCAGGCCAGGGGCCAGCCCTGCCCACTAGCATGCTTACAATAGTCGCAGCCCAAGCACTAGAGGGGGCACACACAGCCCACAAAGGGCAACTCTGGAATGTGTGGTTCTAGTAACCAGGGGGATTGCACTTCTAGGCCCCACAGAACGGCTTCTACAGGTACTCCTTTAAGACCAGGAGATGCAGCTGATTTACCTAATACATAGAAACAAACACAGAGAGTGGGGCGCCTGGGTGGCTTAGTCAGTTGAGCATCCAACTCTTGATTTCGGCTCAGGTCATGATCTAGGGATTGTGGGATCGAGCCCAGCATTGGGCTGCACGCTCAGCATGGAGTCTGCTTTGTCTCTCTCCCTGCCCCTTGCTTGGGCCCGCTCTCTCTCTCTCAAATAAATAAAATCTTAAAAGAACAAAAATAAGAAGAAAAGAAACAGAGAGTCAGGCAAAAAACAGAGGGATATGTTCCAAATGAAAGAACAAGACAAAACCTCAGAAGAAGAACTAAATGAAAGATAAGCAATTTACCTGATAGAGTTCAAAGCAATGGTGATAAAGATGCTCACTGAACTTGGGAGAAGAATGAATGAACACAGAACTTAACAAAGAGGTAGAAAATATTTTTTTAAAAAATTGGAGCTGAAGAATACAACAACTGAAGTGAAAAATCTACTAGAGGGGAATCCACAGCAGATTAGATTGTGTAGAAGAATGGATCAGCAATCTGGAAGATGGTAGTAGATGTCATCCAAGCTGTGAACAGCCAAAAGAAAAAAGAATATTTATTTTAAGATTTTATTTAGAGAGAGGAAGAGAGAGTTGGGGGGGCAGGCGCAGAGGGAGAGAAAGAATCTCCAGCAGACTCTGCACTGAGCACGGAGCCCAACGTGGGGCTTGATCTCAGGATCCTGAGATAATGACCTGAGCCAAAATCAAGTCAGGTGCTCAACTGACTGAGCCACCCAGGCGCCCCAGAAAAAAGAAATTTTAAAAATGAGGATAATTTAAGTTAACTCAATAACATCAAATATAACAACATTCACAGAAAAGAGAAAAAGGAAAGGGGCAGAGAACTTCCCTAACCTGAGGAAGGAAACATACATCCAGGTCCAGGAAGCACAGAGTGCCCCAAAGAAGATGAACCCAAAGAGGTTCACACCAAGACAAATAATGATTAAAATGTCCAAAATTAAAGATACAGAGGGAATCTTAATGGCAGCAAGAGGAAAGCAACTAGTTACCTACAAAGGATTTCCCAAAAGACTAGCTAGCTGATTTTTCAGCAGAAATTCTGCGGGTCAGAAAGTGGCAAGATGTATTCAAAGTTCTGAATGGGAAAAAACTATAACCAAGAACACTCTACCCAGCAAGGTTATTATTCAGAATTCAAGGAAAGATAATGAGTTTCTCAGACAAAAGTTACAGGAGTTCATCACTAGTAAACTGACCTTACAGGAAATGTGAAAGGGACTTCTTTAAGTGGAAAAGGCCATAACTAGAAGAAAATTATGAAAGAAAAAAAAAAAACTTCACTGGCAAAAGCAAACATACAAAGGTAGTATGAGCCAACCATTTATAAAGCTAGTATGAGACTAACAGACAAAAGTAGTAAAATCAACTATATTTAGGGGCATCTGGGTGGCTCAGTCAGTTAAGGGTTCAACTCTTAATTTCAGCTCAGGTCATAATCTCAGAGTTGTGAGATCGAGCCCCACTTTGGGCTCTTGTACTCAGTGAGGAGTCTGCTTTTCTCCCTCTCCCTCTCCCTCTCCCTCAATTAATAAAATCTTAAAATCAACTATATTTATAATAAAGGATACACAAAATAAAAAATGTAAACTACGACATCAAAAACAAAGTGTGGAGGGAGAAGTAAAAATGTGCTTTTAGAATATATTTGACCTTAAGTGACCATCAACTTTAAACAGAGTGCCTCATACATAGGATGTTATATATGAACCTCATGGTAACCACAAACCAAAAACTTTTAATAGATATACAAAAAACTAACAAGAAAGGAATCCACACATGACACTAAAAACTTATCAAATCACAAGGGAAAGAGAGCAAGAGAAGAAAGAAACAGAAGAACTACAAAAACAACCAGAAAACAATGAACAAAATGCTAATAAGTACATACCTATAAAAAAATTACTTTTGTAATTTTTTGTAATATAAATGGACTAAATGCTCTCCTCAAAAGACATACGGTGATGGAATGGATAAAAAACAAACAACAATGAATCATGGAACACTACATCAAAAACTAATGATGTAATGTATGGTGATTAACATAATTAAATAAATAAAATGATTAAAAAAAACAAAACGAAAAATCCCAGAAAACTGAAAGCCTGTCTATATGCTGCCTACCAGAACTCACTTCAGACCTAAAGACACATAGACTGAAAATGAAGGGATGGAAAAATACATTCCATGCAAATGGAAACAAAAAGAAAGCTAGGGTAGCAATGCCTGTATCAGACAAAATCGGCTTAAAATCAAAGACTGTAAAGAGACAAGGGCTTTACGTAATGATGAAGGGATCAATCCAGCAAGATATAACAATTGTAAATATGCACCCAACATAGAAGCACCTAAATCTATAAAGCAAATATTAACAGACATAAAGGGAGAAATTGAGAGTAATACAGTAACAGGGGACTTTAACAGCTCACTTACATCAATAGATAGATCATCGGGACAGAAAATAAGGCCTAGAAAGTCATAGGGGATGGAGTAGGTGGGAGGGACTCTCAGGTCAGGCAGATCTACAGATGTGCAGAACACGGCTGAGGGTACCATGGAGGAAAGGGTACCAGAGGACTACTCAGAGGAGTGTACTTTCCCTCTGAGGACAGGTGTTCTGCCTGCCCAAGGCCACGGTCAGGAATTTTACAGGCATGGGCTCCACTCCTCCAACTTTCAGACCTGCTGTCTGACCCTACTTCTTTGCTCTCCATGGGGTGCAGGGCCAGCTCTGCATGCCCAGGGAAAAGGCCAGGAAAGGCAACATATCACAAAAGACTGCCTTGGGGCAGAGGAAACACCACAAACTGGCCAAGGAGTCACCTCTGGTACCTCTCCTCTTCCAGGATGGGCACACATCCAGAGGTTTGTCTTTGGGAAATTCAGGGATCACCCACTGTACATCCAGACGCTGGCCTGAATGGAGGTAAGGCAGCCAGAGTCCTGAAGGAAAGGGGCCAGCCACCCCTAGTGACTGCTCACCCAGCCCTTTACCTGTCCTGGGAGCGAGGGTGCCCCATGGAGCCCATCTCTTAGAGACTCCCAGAAGCCCAGGAGAGATCTACCCTAGCCCGAAAACCTGTCCCTGGCAACACTCCAAACCATAGTTGCTGAATATGAAATATTTCATGTTGGGGACCTCCTGGCTGTAGATGGCCAGGAGTCTCTATCACCCCTGGAAAGACCTGACCTATTTCTCTCCTCTCTGGTTTGGCAGAGGAGACGTGCCATTGCCTTGGAGCAGGGCAGGCTGCATGGAGAACAAGAAGGCTTCCTGCCTCCTCCAACTTTGGATACACTGGAAAGCTGGTAAGGTGTGGAAAGTCAGAGTAGGCATTCAGTGTGACCTGCGGAGCAACTAGACTTTGTAAAACATGACGTTTCCTCATGGAAAAACAACAGCCTTGTGGGTGATTGGACAAACATCCCCACAGATGAGAAATTAAAGCAGAGTAGAGTGGTCAAGGCCCTACCCTAAATAAGCAATTAAGGGGGCTAGAACACAGGTCCCACAGTCTCTAGGTCTGGGCCACCTAGGGCTCCACACACGTAGACAGACACCACGCTGTAGCTTCTTCAGGCTAAGAGTTGTCTCGACCCCTGATAGAGTTGGTGTCTGCTGCCAACAGATTTGTCCCTGTGCTAGAGGTGGAAGTCTTACAGTTGAGGGAGGGAGCTCCACCTAAGAAAGTTAGTACATTTTAATGAGTTGCTAATTCCTTCTTGCAACATGGACTGCTTTGTGTGTAACGTAATACGGTTCTGGATTTTGGAAATGAATAGCCCAAGGGTCCCTTTGGAATTGCTCCTGAGCAATTCACTTCTCTGATTTAGGCCTTTTATCCACATGGCCTCTTACTGTTCTTACCACTACTTCATCCTCCTAGCACCCACTACCAGCTGGCCCTGACTAAGGAGAGATTGGGTAGGCAGTGGTTTGGAGTATGGGCTGTGGAGACAGAGGGCCGGGACTCAAACCATGGTTCTGCTGCTTATTTGCTGCGTAACCTTGGGCCAGGGCCTTAACAGCAATGCTGGCTCCATTGCCTAATTTTTTTTTTTTTTTCTTTTTTAATTTGAGAGAGAGGGAGAGCACAAGCTGGGGGGAGAGGCAGAGGGAGAGGGAGAAGCAGACTCCCCCTGAGCAGGGGGCCTGACGCGGGGCTCGATCCCAGGACCCTGAGATCATGACCTGAGCCGAAGGCAGACGCTTAACCGACTGAGCCACCCAGGCGCCCCTCTTGTTGCCTTATTTTCGAATGAGGATATGATAGTGCTGACCTCACCAGGTTGATAGGAGAATTAAATGTGTTAATTCAAGTACTTAAACAGTGTCTGACCCATAATAAGTCTTAACTATTATCTTGTTCAGTTCTCTGTTCAGAAACCCCAAATAGTTATAGAATTGAGATGAGTGTTTAACCTGAAATAGACTTCCTTGGCCTCTTTTAACAAGTATTTCCTCATTTGCTAAACCACACACTCCAACTCAGTTCCTCAAATCTGCCCTCCTGCCTTGGCTCGTGCTGACCCAGTATTGCCATCAGTTGACGTCACTGCTGCCCCTCCAGGGCAGGCTCTCTGGTCAGACATGCCGATGGGCTTTCTTCTTCCTTTAAGCCATATCTAAGTAGTCTTCCAAAGTTGTGGAGGAAAGCTAAACTCATCAGACATGAAAAGTATTCTCCAACCGAGCATATAAAAAATTACTTTCCACTTAGACATTGTTAAACAGAATTTCAGCTGAGTTCACTTCAAAGATCAAATTGGCTTTGATTCAATGACTCATGAGTTGGGCAGCATCCCATTCAGCAATAAAAGGAGCTCTGAAGGGCTGTACAAAATGCAGGGTTTTTAGGAGCAAAAATGGGGTGGTAAAGGAGAATGATGAGTAAAGAATGCATTGTTTCAGTAAGGTGGCCTTTCTAACAGGATCGGAAGGGGTCCATCAAGTGGATTCTCTCACCAGTGCTGACTAGGTAATTCCATGACGACTGGTTAAAGGTTCTGCCTGGGGAACTGGGGTGCAGTTTAGTTAGCAAGCCAGGATTTGCTGACATGGGGCTTAGTACAGGTGACTTCATTTGGGGCCTGTTGTCTCTTTTTAAGCATCTCCCTGATTAACACCCTCCTCCCACCATAGCCCCTCTCTCCCATCTCATACTTGCGATTGCGAGACGTCATAAACTTCTGACGTTGACAGTACAATGAAATGGTGCCAGAGTACAATTTAAGTTTTAAAATGTAGAAGGCCATAAAGTCGTGCAAGTATTGGTGGGAAACTGCTCAAATGATTGCAGTCACTGGCAAAGGAGGAGCGGAGGGTTAGGTCTGTTAACAAATGAAGAGCTTCATGGAACCAGGGAGGTGCTGCAGGGGGCGATTTGAGGATCCGAGAACTAAAGGATTAAGAGAGGCTTTCAGGAAAACTGAGGAAGCCGCTAACTTTTGCAAAAATGACTGCCCTGCGGAAATGGTGTCCTGTTGGGCAACATAATTTTAGGAGGGAAATATACATAAAATAATTCTGTTCTAAGAATTCGCCCGTAGTTGCAATTGCACTTTGTTAAGAGCTACTAGTTTTAGTAGTTTCATTTTCCAAGAAGTTCCAATCAAACCTTTTCCTCTGTTTATTATATGTGACTGGTCTCCATTTTAAGTAGGTTGACTCCAAGAGGCTTTTTTAAGTCTCAGTTCTTTTTGGATAATGAGCACCTTTTAACTTATTTTTATCTGCCCCATCTTACCTAACAGACGGCACACTCCTGGGGCAAACAGTGGCGGGACAGACAGAAATGCCATGTCATCATCTCATGGGATGGTGGGGGCGGATACGCGTGCGTGACTCACCAGTGAAGCCTGGGCAGACCCACAGCCCTCAGTTACTCGTTGAAGGAAGGAGTCCCGGTCTATCCAGAGCTGTGGGAAGCAAAGACCTGAAGTGAGGGTCCCCGGCAAGGAGGGGCGACTAGATGACCTCAGATACCCAGGCTGTTGTCCTCAGCTCTGTCTAGGCTTTTCCGGCATTGGCAGTGATCTCCAAAAGTCTGGAGTGCTCTGCAGGGCAGGGCTGGGTGGAGGTGGTGCGAGTGGCAAGGGTGATCAGGGATGCCCGTTAAAGGCAGAGGCCCCTGCCGCCACTCCGCTGGCCTCCCCTCAAGTAGCATACAGAAGCTGTGTAAGGTGGCGTTGGGTGCTCTCGTTTGTTCCTGCCTGGTATGGTTAGGAACTTAAGGCTGAGCTTCGTAACCAGACTGCATGGTGGAGCGTCTCCCAGTCCCAGGGAAGGTGTCTGCAAAGAGGTTAACTTCTTACCTGGGAGTAGAGGAGGGAAGGGCCAGCTGGCACCTGTGTTCGCCCCAGCTCCAGGCACTGACTGGTTGGTTAGGACCACCAGACTGAGCAGAGGACAAAAAGCAAGGCCAGGTGCTGTAGGCTGTTTGCAGAGGTGGGAGCGCCAGCCGGAGGTTGCCCTGCGGTTGAACGCTTTGAGAAGAACCGTCTGGGGCCGTGGCTGGTGAGTCCTTGGGGACGTATGAGCACAGTGTCAGGGGGGCAAGAGGAGCCTGTGTGGCAGCAGCTGGTTTATCAAGTCAGATGAATCATACGCCTGAGGTGCCAGAGCACAGAGGTCACGTCCCAAGGCTGACAGGGACTCCCAAGAGTGGGAGTTCTTCACCCCAGTGAAGAATGTATGCTGGCTGGGCGCGGCACCTTCTGGGGGACTTGAAAGAACTGCCAGTCTAGGAATTGACCTTCCAAATGGCAAAGTACATTAGGGGAACCATTTACAACGAACACTAAGCTGGTTTAACTTGGGTGACAAAACCTTAAATATGTGCCGCGACCTTGGGCTCCTTTGGCATTGGAGATGGCGGGGTGGCGGGAATCCTACGAATGCAAGGTCTTTGCTTCATTTTCCAACCTTGGCCTCTAGGGTCCTCATGGAGGCTTTCTTGCTAGACAGGACACACAACCTGGGGCCAGGCCTCTGCCTCGGACATCTGTGCTACGGAGGTAAGGGCCACCTGGTTCTGCCTCCCCTGCTCCTCAGCCTGGACAGCTGTCATTCTTTAGTCAGGAACCTCACAGCAAGGGAGGCCGTGCCAGTCTCCCCAAGGGCTCAGGAATTCTTAGGTGCCGCCTCAACCCCAAGAAGCAGTTTCTCTCTCGGGGGGGGGCGGGGGCGGCCGGGGGGCTTCCATTGCTTTTACACAATTTTAAAGCATCAGTGCACCTGCATCCATTAGAACATTTTAATCCTTTAATAAAATACTTATGTGAACTTTAAAGTCTTTGAGTAGTGATACATTTGCAGTTTATTGCAAAACTCAGATCAGAATGCTTCAAGGTCAGAATTTTACCTCTGTAAGGTGGAAGACCCGGGGTGGGGCCAGTTGTCTTCTAGTCTTAATACGTGGTGAAATAGAAGGTGTGCCAGACATTCAGAGTATCTGCCAGCAGCCAGAGATAGAAGTGCCATCTCATCCCGTGAACAGTGCGGAGGGGAGCATCTACTAAGCAACCACCTTCAACCCCCTCTTCTGGCAAAGTGCTCTGCTCTAGAGGAGGAAATGCTCAGCCCTTCACCCTCCCACAGGCAACTCCGCTGGGGCCTCAGAAGCTCAGGTTCTGCCCGCCCAACTAGTGGTTGTGAAACTGGCTTTTGTGGCAGTGCTTCCGGGGTTCTCTGCAAACACTGCAGATATCTTAAGTGGTAAAAATCGTCTCTAACGTGCCCACTCAAGTGTAAAATACGCATTAGCTTAGACTGAGACATCGCCGTAGGGCCTCCGCAGCCGGGCTCGGGTGGGCTGCCCGTGACGGAGGGTGCTGGCCTGATGCTGGATCGCCACGCCCAGCTGCAACTCCGTGCTAGCGGCTCTCACTGTAGAATAATTTGAGTGCTTCCTTATAGCCTTTAGGGGTTTCTTACTGATCTATGGAGGGTAAGGATTGAAAGCAGGTGTTGAATATTCTTCTATTAATCCTTTTTTAAGCATCCACTTTTGTCAATAACAAGATTGCAGGCAAGCTGCAACTATTACCAGTTGCAACCACTTACCTATCATAAGGATTTTTTCCTCTGTATCAAATTCAGAAATTGGAGGCTGAGATCATTCACAACTAACCCATTTGCAGTAGTAAAGATGCTCCGCCCAATCCCACTGATTTAAGACAATTATTACTTGAAACAATTCATGCTAATAACATTTATATATCTGAAAGGTGAAAAACAATGATTATAATATCAAAACCTTTTGATTTGGGTTAGGAGGGAGAGGAGGGCTCATAGTCTCAAGCCTTTT